TTTCCCGGCCTGGCGCCGGGCCAAAGAAATCTCAGTGCAACCACATCCATAGCGGATTGGTTCAGATGGCACTTTAAATCAGGGCCCAATCAGATGAATGCTGGCTGCAGACCGAATAGTGCAAGAAAGGGCAAGATTGGTTGAGACAGTATCTAAAGAAATCAAAGCAAAAACCCTAGTTTGACCTTCCAAGATCTAGCCTACGAAGTCCTGAAGATCTGGCAGTCGCCTCACTAATTGCAGTGCCACATTAAGCTGCCTCATCCAATAAAATAAGAGAATGTTTTCAGTATATGAACGAGTGCTGCCTGCCTTGGGAATTTGGAAAAGTGGTTTGAGGCGCGACTTTGACCGATGTTGAAACGGAAGCAAGCAGAAGCACTTCAGATCGACATTTTATTTCGACATATGGCCGTGATTTACTAGTCACATATTGCTTTCGAGACTAAGTTGCCACTTTTCGTGTCTCCCGGAGCATTGTCAACGTAGCCTACGGACCTTGTGAGTCGACTGCAGAGGCACTGACAAAGTCATTTGTGCAGAGTATAGGCCTCACTAGAGGACTTTATTTCAGTGTCCCTGGTATTTGATAAGCGTGGCATGAAAGCCAAATCAATGTGATTTCTGACTCGGAATTTTGACAATATCTCCTCAGACAAAGACAGGATATTTGGGAACTGCGGATTTGTCAAGTTTTGGTCAAACAACTTGAAATCGGGTCGAGGCCAGTATGACAGACAAGATACAATCAAAGGACTAAGCAAGACTTCTATAAGAGCTACAGGATGCATAGTGTTCGGCAAGTAAAAAAAGAATGTTTTCGTGGCCATCAGTCCCAAGTCTACCTACTCTGGCTCATGCATGCTTCCAATTCAATCGGCCCAGCCCAACCATTTCCCTTCCTCTATCATGTCGAATTCGTTGCTTGTGACTCCGAATCATATCTCGTTTTTCATTACACTTGCACTCATCTTCTTGCCCATAGTCAGCGCTGTCGCGTGCAGCGCCAACTGCCCTCGATTATTGCGAGAGTGCATAAAGGGCTGCGTTTACAATGGGGGAAATCATATTCTCTGCAATAGTACATGTCATACTATAATGGTAAGTTCCCGTCCAACGACCAAACCAAGTTTCACTTAGCCCACCATGCCATACTGATGAGGTTGACTGCATTCATAAATGCGAGGAAACTTAATGATATTCGGGTTTCAACGAAACACATCACTTTTGGTTCTGCTTGCATTGCACAGTCTCGAGTGGAAAGTTGAAAAGTTGAAGAAGAGCGTGTCGAAGTTAAAAGTAGAACTCAAAAGAATCGTCATCGACAGAGTGTATTATACGCAAAGAAATATTACATTAAGATTAGACTGCAGTTGAATCTAAGAGAGACATATCAGGCTAGACAGCCGAACTTTGAACGAGTGACTTTTTCCACCAAAACTTTTCCAACCCTTCCTAGATCATTACCACCCTTCCACCTCAAGAAGAAAAAAAATGAAAGTCCCAACACATCACACCAGATCAAGCAGGTGGCAGCGGCTTGATTTCGGAGAGAGGCGCGCAGGGCCACGAGGGGTTCTGCTCAGGCTTGCCGTGCACGACGTTGCCGACAATGGTGTAGATGTTCTGGCACAAGGTCATGTTGACGAAGCCAGGGCTGCGGTTGCCCTGGTCGGACCACAGCTTGGCCTGGGCCTGGGGCGACACGTCGGTGTAGTTGGGCTGGTAGACGTTGTTCTTGTAGCCGCCCTCGACCCAGCCACCGTAGGCAGCGGCGACGATGTCCTCCTTCGTGACGCCGCCGTAGCGGGAGCCGTCCATGGTCTCCGTGCCGAAGAGCGCCGTCAGGGGCCAGTGCTTGCTCTTGAAGATGTTGGGGCGGATGGAGGGGTACTCGGTGGTCAGCTTGACGCCCTCACTTCTGATGTCGACGAGGTAGAAGAGTCTGTCTTCGTAGCAGGCGGCGGCTCTGGCGTGGTCGCTGTCGGGCAGGAAGGGCCAGAGGGAAGAGTCTCTCTCGCCCGTGGCCATCTTGCAAGGCAGGTTGGTCTTCCTGTAGAAATGTGTAAGAAGGTGAGGCAAAGGCGTTGTTGGGTGTGTGTGACTTACAGGACGAAGGGCCTCTTGGACCACTTGCGAGTCTGCCAGATGGACACCATGAAGCGGGGGTAGAACAGCTTCTGAACCATCCTGGACATCTCGTAGGCGTTGAGGTCATCCGGGGTGGCGCCCATGAGGCCGTTGTCCAAGGCCGCAATGAGGAAGTTCTCGGTCTCGGTGTTGTTGGGAGAGAAGATGTTGTCGACGTAGGCAGTCTGGGTAGCCTTCCAGCTGTCGAAGACGTCCCCCATCATGGCACCGAGAGATCCGTACTGAACCTTGGGGTCCTTGCCTCTGTTTATCGCGTCTGGTCAGCAACCCATTCTGAAAGTCTGAAGAAAGATGGTCGCTTACGGAAGCATGTAGTCCTTTCCGATGGCCCAACCAGTGAAGATACTGTAACTGAGAGTGGTCGTCAACTGCGAACGCCAGACCTGAGAGATCATCTGTCCAGCGGCTTGCTCGACAGGCTTTGCAAAGATGACTGCGCACTCAAGTCAGACACATAATTCGTCAAGTGTGGGTTAGTTCTGCGGGGCTGCAAACTTACAAAAGTTGTTCATGTAGGCCTGTGCAATACCAATCACACCGTAAGCAACGTTGAGGAGAATTCTCTTGGTCTGGTCCTTGGACTCGTCCCTGGGAGGTGGCACGGAGAAAGACTCGGCAAACAGGTCCATTTCGGACTGAATGTCCTGCTGAGCCAGGCTGAGAGCCTCAAAGTAGCGGTGGTGGAACTGTTGATATGTTTGTTAGCATGAAACCAGAAAGAGGAAAGTTACAAGAAAGAGGAGTAGGAAGGAACTGTGCAACTAACCCGGTGAAGCTTGGAGAATGAGTTGAGAATGAGATGTCCAGCGGGATACTTGGTATCCTCACAGACGAGCGTGGTCGAGCAGGGCACGTCGAAGATCTCCTTGCAGTGCCATTCCTCGGGGCCGCCAAAGTACCAAGAGACGAACTCGCTGAACTGGAACTTGACTTCGTCAGGTCCGGTGGTGTAGTTGCGCCACGCAGCGAAGACCTCTTGGAGGGCACCCGATGCACCAGCCGCCTCCCATCGCTTGTCGGGCAAGGCCTTGGCGTCGACGATGACACCGCTGCAGTTGACTGCTCTCCAGTCAACCTTGCTGATGGGCGCAGGAGGCGCGGCAGGCCCCAGAGCCTGGGCCGTTGCCGCTGTGGCCGAGGCCAGCAAAAGAGTGAAACTAGAAAACAACATCGTGCCAGTTACAGAGAAATAGGCCGGAAAGGACAGTGCGGCTGTCTAAGTCTTAACTTGCGTGCCGATGAAGAGAAAAAAAGGTATTGTCGTGAAGTCATTGTGTATTACTTATAATCATTGCTTCAGTATTCCGTCGACATGTCAAAACCCAAGCTCGGCAATTTTGACTCTCGCCCAAGCCTCACGGCGGTAAGTACCGTAGTATCGACGAGAATAATATCGTGCCGACGGATGCAATTCTCACGATGCGGAGCACCTAAAAAACCTTAGTTGAGCAAATATAGTTGGGTTCACGGAGCACCCGAAAAGTTTCGGCGATCAGATAACATCAAATTACAATGTGGGTCACCCGAAAACTTTAGATGATCAGATAACTGCTTTTCTGGAAAGGCCTCTATTCCGGATTTCGTAAGGTTAAACCAAGAAAGGCTTAAACCAAGAAAGGCGAATTATTTCCCTTTTCTTGGAAAGAGAATCGTTCGTCAACCTGAATTCAAACGAGTTGCGCTGAGTTGACCTGAGTTGAGAGATGAAGGTGTCTGCCCCCGCTTCAGGGGAGCCCTCACCCAAATGCGCGTCATGTCTTCATGCGCGACATCAGTTTCTGCGGAGCCGCATCCCAAAAGAGACCTACTACACGTGCGGCCTCTGACAACTTACTACATTGGGGCAGACTTTTCGTTGCGGATCTACCTGCCGATTCTGATTCAGAAAGTGAGGTTTGCCGAGCCTGCACCAACTTGACTAAGTATACCCGCTTCCCTGTAACCTTGAGTCTTCTTCCCACTTTTGTTGATCGCCAGCAATTGTCGGCTTTTGACAGTTGTTTGTACGAAAGTCTAATGAATGAAACAATGACACACTTATTTACATGTCAGCTGTTGTGGGATCTCTAGGTAGCATTGCGGCGGGAACAAGACACGGCAATGATGTCAAGCTTAGCCCGAGCTTCGGGTTGTTTTCATTTTTGCCGTGTTGTTTCAGGATGGAGGTAAGGGTTCTGCATGTTAACTTTGAGCAAGTTTATTAGGACTTGGGTCTGTTGAGGCTCTTGTATGTGGGGCTCTTAATATGTAAAGATCTGGTTCTCGACCCTCAAGGTGGTCCGCTGGCCATCAAGGTGTTTTTGTATGTGAGGCTCCTCCCGAGGCCGGCCCAAGTGATCTGATCGTCGCGCAGTGGGTCAAGCATACTTGTCAGATCAGGTGTAGCATTGGCTCCTTGTTGAATAGGGCTGTCATAACCTTTGAAAAGTAGCCTTCGGTAATTTCCTGTCGTAGCCACTTTCTACTTAGCGATGTAGCATTTAGCCGTTGGAAACATTATCCCGCGCAGGACATCCCGCTGAAACACTTTGTTGATACTTCGTGTAAAACTTTTTTCTGATGTCTGAATGATCTTTTGCAATAAACCATCATATACGAGAGTTGTATGCGTGTGTCAGACCGGTCCCACGTCTTGATGAAGGTCTTGATGAAGGCGAAAATGGTTCAGGTAGTTTCGGCCAGCAGAGCTTCTGAGGCTAACGTCGCTTGAACGATCATGGCTTAAATACTCTGGAAAAGACGACGTCTTGTTGCAATTTTCAAGGCAGCATTCCAGAAACCCATCGCCACGAACCGGCAGACCGTCAGAGCGCATCAACGCCGTCGCCATCCCTAGAAAGCCCAGCAAGATGTTGTTCTCCAAGTTGTGAGTTGCATTCAAAAGCTTTCCAGCACCTCATTCCTCTGTTTCCATGATGTCTAATGTAATACAGGCAAGTCTTGTCCTACCTGGCGCTCGCCCAGCTCTGCGCATCTGCCGCCATCGACACTGCTCAAGACATCGCTCCGCGCGGAGCCTTCCGAGACAACTACGGCAGCAACATGTGTCTCCAGGTCAAGTGCGACACAACCGTCTGCGCCGAGAACCCCGATGACGCCCTCGCCGTGGCGTCTGGCGGAGTCAGCCTGATCGTGGGCCCTGACTGCGCCGGATGGGATGAGGGCAGTCTCCTCGAGCTCCCCAACGGCACCAATGGCAAGACTTGCCCTGATGGCCGTAAGCTCTACCAGGGCACTTTGATGGTATGGCGAGCCTGGAACAACGTCAGCGCCAAGAAGGATTACCACGCCGAGTTTTTTGAGTGGGACAACTTCAAGGGCGCCCAGTGCTGGGGCAAGAAGGACGTCCAGTGTCAGAAAGATGGTGTCAAGATGGCTCCGGACCCGAACACCGGTCTTTGTGTGCCCTGGGGTCTGTAAAGGAATGGAGGGGGTAGATGGGTGGAGGCTACAAAAGGATGGAAAAGTACATGCATTTTAGGCCCATTGGTCGTGAAACTATGTAATAGTAATTATCTCATTCTCTTAGTAATAGTATTTTCATAGAAATAATCTCTCGCTTATCAAAATGTACATACACACAGTGGATTGTAACATGATTTCACACGTGATTGACCACGTAGAGTGATGTAGGCGTCAATCGATCTCTTTCATGCAATCTCATATCTGTGCAGTTTTGCAAATACGGATGAATGGTATTAAACTATGACATTTTGTCCCAAAGACGTTGAGTCATTCTGTTTGCAAAATACGAAGGGGTGTAACGAGATAGTAATGCAACAGCCAATATTCTCTGGATCAATGAAGACTTAGCCAGTCATGAAGCTGGGTAGACGAATGGGAGAGAGGATCCCGCGGTTGGGACTCCTTGAAACAATACAATACAGCTGTGTGCAGGATTCAGGGGAAACGGGGTTGGCTTCAGATTTGAAATTACAAAGGAAAACTCAGAATGTGCTGTGAAAGAAAAAGAGCTTTGGTATGATCGGGAAGTCGAAAACCACATGTTTGGCGAAAAGAAGAAAAAGGGAGAAAGAAAGTTCGGAGTAAAGCCATGTATTTCCAAATCAGACAGCAAGACTGAGCACCATCGATAAGCAGCACACATCATGGCCATGAATTTCGGAGTCATGTGTGATGACAATGAAAATTCTTTGTATTCGAAGTTGATGAATGTCAAATGACTGACGAATTCGTCGCCTTCTTTCACTGAGTTTACCCCTACTGTACGACGTCGACGTCAAATATTTCCGCGTACTACGAAATTCCGCCGTTTTTGTCCTATGATGAGCTCAGTGAGGAGCCCCCTGCGTCGGTAAGAATTCAGTATACTAACTTGCCAAGCTGAAAAGAATACTCCATGCTCCCTCAGTACCACAGTTGATGTCCCACCTGCACGTCATATCCGTTGTATGAAAAGCTGATAAACTAGCGCACGAGGTCAGAATGAAGAAACGCTAAGAGATGATCGCATGCGGTATAAAAAGCGAAGCACCACTTCATTTCGGGTCAGCGTGGTTGAAGACAACAAATACTCTCATATGGAGCCATCGTCGTCGATATTGTTGATCTCTGTTCACGGCTGACCTCGTGGCTGATCTCCACAAGTGGCCCCCATCAACATCAGGAATCATGAGCGGATTCATCTTGTCTGGATTCGACACTTTCTACCCGGCTTCGTTCGAATTTCCGGATGGCATCCCAAAATCGCCATTCAGCGACGCATGGACTTTCGGCAAGCCTATGCCAGAGACCATGGTCACCGTCGGCCTCGGCGACGGCAAGAAACTCAGTCTCGCAGACGGCAACTTTCCCTCGGTCGCTTTGTGGAATGAAGAAGGACAACGAATGGGACAGTATCAAGGCCATTACGCAGGCCACGTAAAGCAAGGGGGCGAAAAGACGGTGGTGATCCGACAGACCATGAACGGCAGGAAAGACGAGGATCCAGGATACATTATGCTAAGCGCGGACAACGACGCCATCTGCATCGCAATGATTCAAGTTTCGAACAGCAGACATACCTCGGCCTTTTTCGGAGATACCGGCTACGCCTGCGGGCAGAGCTGGTATTTCAGTGATCGCAAGATGACGCACGACCTCGTCAACCGCCTGACCTCGAGATGCGTCTGGCTGGATTCCGATCACAGCGGGACGAAAAATGCGCGTGCGATGAGCTACCATCTCAAAGACATGTTGCCCGCGAAAGATAAGATCGCACTGTACAACCGGGATGGACACAAATACCTCTGCACGACTCGGCGATTCGCCTGGTGGAGGAACTTGAAGCCGAATGGCTGGATTCCGTTCTATAAGCCCCCGCTGGAATACTACCCAGACAGCGAGGACAAGAAAAAGGAAGGGGCTGACATCCATCCAGACTTGATCCTTGATGACAAGGTGTACGATAAGGAGATATACATAGAACAGGGAGAGTCGAGGAAGGTGAGGGAATATCACAAAAACAATCCCTTCGCGCGAGCGAAGAAGCGACGGGACAGGAAGTCTTTGAGGAAAAGGCAGGGAGCAAATATGGACCTGGAACGGATTGTGGTCACTGAAATTCCGGGACAGACGGCAACAGAGATCTGCGAGCACCCAAATTCGGTAGGGTATGACATCGCGTCTTATGTTGACATGAAATACTGCGATATCTCAGAGAAGAAGCTGTACGATCTTTGCAGCAGTACGATCAAAACCAACTGTTTTGATGGGAATAGCACGGCCTTCGTGGGGGTTATCAACGCACGTGGCGAGAATGCTGCACCAGCGAAGTCTTACAAGACCAGGAGCGATTGGAAATGACTGGATGTTGTGGGGGATCTGATTATTATTCCAATTTCTTGTGTAATATTTTGACTATCGTAGCTTAACGGCCTTTTAACGAGGTATATTGTATCAGTAGATCCGAAATTGGTTGGGTGTAAGTCATGGGTGCAATAGTACCTTATCAGGCATGTGGAGAAGTTGCAGCGTATGACGAAAACTTGTTGTATGAGGCAAGGTGTAGCTAGGGAACAAAGTCAATCTAGCCTGTGCTTCTGAAAAGATTGTTGCATTTTCATTACCAATCCCTCAAGCCTCCAGTGCTTACTACATGAAGGCCAGAACCTCATGCTCTAGCCGCCTCCCACTCTCCAAACGCCTTGACAGCCTCAGCAACAACGTCATGACCGAGAAGCTCTTTCTGATATTCCGGGTCAATCCACCTCCAGCCGGTGGGTGACAGCCCGTCTGCCAACTTGGCACCTGCCATCTCGGCATCTCGCGCTTCCTGCTCGGGCCCGTCCGGTATTTGATACCACTTCTGGTTCGATCTTGCGCCTTGAACATTCACGGTCGTCCGTGATTTGCGCAGTGTCTCATAGAGCTGGAGCACCTCCGGAATCAACTCCGCCGGCGTGGTTCCATTCGAAGAGCCATTGAGCAAGCCCAAGAGCTTGCCAAGGACTGCACCGTCTTCGACAGCCATGGCTGCCCCTTGTGCCTGGTATGGAAGACTCGGATGACAGGAGTCTCCCAGGAGAGCGACACAGCCCTAGGCATATTAGCATGATGTTTTACTGAATGTTGTGATGCCAAACCTTTGTCCAAGTCTTCAATTCAGGATGCGTGCACAGCTTCCATTTCTGAACTCTTGGTATGCAAGATATCAGCTTGGTCAACCTGTAAATGATGGTTAGCCAATAATCTCATTGATTCACCGGAACATTGGCCCAGTGACATCTCTCAATCACCGATAGCGCCGAAAATTGCTCGAGCGGAAGATCAAAGGGTCCAACTCACGTCTCATCCCAACCCTCATAGCTCTGTCTCATCTCACCAACGTCCCCCTCAATGTGCCGTTCTCCGGGCGCCATGTTGTCGGGCCTGATCAAGACCAAGTTGAACTCTTTCCCGCCCCTGACAGGGTAGAACACCGTATGCTTTTGGGGTCCCACCCACACTGTCACCTGCTTTCGAGAACACAGCTCATCTACGGCTCCGTCGTTGAGTGTCTTGAGCTGCTCCGCGGGGAATGACGCTCGGTACGCAAGATCCCCAGTCTCAACTACTGGTGATGGTGTTCCGAGCAGCTGGTTGCGGCATATTGAGTACAGACCTGCTTAGTATCAGCAAACCAATGGTCCTTCACGACGACACCATACCCACCATCGGCGCCAATTATTACGTCCCCAGAAATGTCATCTCCATCCTCGAGCCACACCGTATTGGTAGCGAAATCAATCCTCTCAACATCCATGTCCAGACAAAGATCCACCCCAAGACTCGTGCACGTCTCCCACAACGCCGCATGACAATCAGCGCGATGACACACCATCCACAGGTCTCCATACTGTTCCATACACTCCTTCGCGGAGAGCGAAAATAGGTGCTTCCCGTTAGCATACCGCCTCAGCTCCATCTTGTCAACGATGACGCCCCTCTCCAGCAACTTATCCAGATATCCCAGCTGCCGCGCAATCCTTGTCCCGTTGGGCGGTACCTGGATCCCAGCGCCAATCTTAAAAGACGAGGCAAAATACAAGTCAGCAGACTCTTCCGGAAGGAGCCGAAACTCAGGCTCGATCGCGTGATTAAACTCACGGGCACGATGCGGTTCGCCCTCTCGAGCACCACGACTTCCAGACCCTCCCGCTTGCATGCAATCGCACAGGCGAGGCCGCCTAACCCCGCTCCGATGACAAGGACCTTCATCCTTTCGCTCTGGTGATATTCTCTTCTACAGCGGCGTAATTGTTCCTCCGATGACGTGGAGCAGGATGAAATGTAAAATACCGCGGACGGAAAATCTGTCCTGTTTGTTGTTGAAAAAGGAATAACGCATGCGGGACAGCGGCGTGGTGGACACTGCCCCGCGCGGCCCGAAACCCACATCGGTAGCGTAACCGCCTGCAATGCTGATCGGGAACTTTAAACGGAGCCCTCCATCCTATCTCTCCGCCTCTTCGCCCCCACCTCCACACCGGGGAGACTTACCATCAAGACGGTGCTGATCAGAGATGCGAGCCGTGTTGAACATGTCCTGAACTCTTCTTCTCTCTGGCTCGGTCGACTCGGAATGCCTTACCGGTCCGAGGTGTCATTTCTTAAAGCCTAATTCCGAAAACTGTCGACGCAAGGACGGCTGTGGCAGGTTCTTCTTCTTTGCGTAATGCACGGTAAGACTGTTTGACGCCTCTGCAAGTTCTTGGGCGCAGCGGGTGACTATTTCGGCTGATGTTGGATAGCACCGCAACTGCTATGAATGATTGGAGAATACCTATACATAAAAGAAGAGCGATGTGCAGTACTCTTACTTTCTTACTTTGCATCAACATTGCATTCATGAGCATGCAGAGGACTTTTGTTGTAGAACAGACCTTGAAGGAGGATAGAGCATCTAAAAATACCTGCGTGCATGACGCATGCGATATTTGGAGGCGATTTGTAATGGCAGTCATGGACTGAGTGAGAATAGAGATGCCTGAGAGATTCTCAACTGGCTTTCTACATCACACGAATAAAGTGAAGCACTATCGAGGATGTGTGAACACCGAGCAAGCAAAAGTATCAAATCTGTATTTACCCTCAAATTTAGCAAGAGTTTGTTGATAATAGCTGCGACAGAACTTCTCGAACAGGCCGAAGCGACATGATCTGCCTTACCTGTCTAGGACCACCACTCTGACCCACTCATAGACGTCCCTGGGCATCTAGATTGCCCATATTAGTTTCAACCTTCTTTCAAACGGTCAGATCATTGGCGGGTACCGTTCCCTAGCAATATACTCATATGCACGCGTTGTTTCAGTCTGTGGACCCGTGTACCCGCAAGTAGTTAGGAGGCACAGCATACTTCCAAGCTGACTGTTTCCCGTCACCTGGTACCCATGATCAGATTTCTCAGACTTCACGGCTGTCGTCCAGGGGTATAGAATTACCCCAAGATCATGGATTTGTCAACCACACAGGCGACATAAGATGGATCTCGGCACCAACATCCGAGTGACGTCCCGTAGGGCTGGCTGACAGGATGTGACAGCCGCTCAACCCTTTCACCGTGCCCCTTCTTGGCAAACGAGATCTAGCAGAGGATGAGCTCCATATTCTATGAAGTTTTCATCATGAATGGGATTCTGATAGGTTCATGTGGAGGATCAACATCGTCGCAATAATATTACGTGCATGCACACCAACTTTAGCACGACACCATCCGCGATTCTTAGACGGACGTGTCGATGACTCTAAAATGGCGGTTCTTGTCTCTGTATCGAGGAATGATGGTAACGGAAAGCGCTGTGCGCAATTGAGATTATCTCATGTGGAATGTGTTTGCGTCGGTGACATCAAAACACCGAATGGCCGGTAGGATATTTCAACTTTGGTCACCGATGTTACCTGTACGTCATAGGACTGGGCAGGTGATCAACAATGTCCCCGGCGTCTTAGAGATGACTACTGAAGATATTCATACAATGCCTCACGCGCTGTTCTGTGGGCGGCCGGGTCATGCCTCGCCGCGCGCGTAAGTGACCGAAGATCCCGCGACAACGAACCCGGCGCCCTTGGCTCTCCGATTAATCCTTGCTAAGCGCCCATCCAGCTTTTTGCAGACATTGATGCGATAACATATCCTATAATGCAACATGAATAGTGTTGAGATTAAAGACGATTAAGTATTTAAACATGAAATCGGGCTCCTCGGCGTTTTGCTTTACACCCCGGTCGACTTTTGACATCCTGTCATCCTGGCACGTTATCCGATCTTCCCGGAGGTCCTTGCTCCCCTCCTCTTCGACGTCACCACTCAAACGTTGCGGGAAGTGGAGGAGTTGGGGGCTCGCCAACTTTGTAAGTCCCCGATTACCTGATCAGGGAATTCGTTTCGGACGAACGTCGCCGATGCGCGGGGCGTGCGGCCAGGGCGGATCGCAGCCCGATTGAATTGTCCGTCCGCGGGCTCCTGTTCCCACGATGCCGAACATTATACCATTCCGCAGTTTGTTAATGTTTCGTTATTTTTCCTTTTTAGCCCGGGGCACCCGACGGCACATTCGGGTTTGCGCGGTGTTCCATGCAAGGCACAAAGTGGAAAATTAATAGGACCACACTCAGAAGGAGAGAGTGGCGTCTTATCTTATTACTCCTCGGTCTTTGACTTTTTTCAACGTCTCTTAAAATTGAGCTCGTTCTCGTTACTCCTCGAGATTGGCCCTAATGCCTTTCATTGTCGAAAAGAAAGCGGCGCTTTCCCGGATGGCCTTCCAAGCCCTTGTAAGATACGATCACGATGGACAAGTCTTTTACGGCAATCTGGTGCGAAGAAGCAGAAGCGGTTATGTTGTGGAGAGATTAGGTGGGAATATTGATGAGGGATTCGTCAACACGAATATGAGGGATACGGTAACGAAGGTGAGAACCTGGAGATGGCATGACTCGGGTTTGAGATTTGTCGGAGAAAGTGACCGCTGACGCAAGTTCCGCCAGTTGCTGTGTCCCTTGGAGCGAACACCAAGCATCATATGTCTAGGCCTCAATTTTCTGAGATACGCAGAACAAGCAAATGTAAGAGTGGTATTGTCAATGCACCCCCAGAAAACTACTAACAAATACGCAGCTCCCAATTGCGGCCTACCCAATAGTTTTCACGAAACCGCCAGATGCTCTGGCAGGACCGAACGATCCAGTGTTCGTTCATCCGGACGCGCAAAGTCACTTGGATTACGAGGGCGAGCTGTGCGTCATCATTGGAAGAGACGCGAAAAACGTGTCAGAAGACGAAGCGCTTGATTACGTTCTCGGTTATTCTGCAGGAAACGACCTTACCGCACGAAATTTTCAAGTTCCCGACGCTTCAGGAGGCCAGTATTCTTACTGTAAATCATTTGATGGTTTTGCACCGATAGGACCGGCGATCTGGTCGCCTACAGTGGTTCCAGATCCGCACGCACTGCGGTACCGCACGATGGTCAATGGCAAAGTCGTCCAAGAGACTGAAACTTCCGACATGATTTGGAGCGTGGCGCAGGTGATTGTCCACCTTTCAAGGGGAACGACGTTAAGGAAAGGGACCGTTATTATGATGGGTACACCGGCTGGTGTTGGCTATTTTCAGGGGAAGTTCTTGAAAGATGGTGACGTGGTGGCTGTAGAGATCGACGGACTGGGGAAGATCGAAAACAAGATTGTTTTTGAGAAAGAAAATCCCGAGGAGATGGAAGAGTAGACCTTTTATGGTTGGGAGGCAGTCTGCACGACAGGCAGATATTTCTGGATGCCTTTCATGAGATACGATGACGTCCAATGGCCTACGGCTCCGAGTTTATTACACGCTCTCATGATCTGGTCTTTCGGCGTTTTCGTTTGAACATTAGGATGGCTGGATGCGGACTTATACAGGGGTACTTGCTTTAGTGTGGCTCTAGGTGTAGAATCTTCTGCTTTCGACTCTATGGTTATAGCTGGTATTCAACGGAATCTTATGTCTCCCGTAGTCCGTCTCTAACGTTTCAGTGAACTATTTGTATAATGCCAAAGTCATGTGACAGCTTAGCCTATGCGAGCCCTACATCCTTCTTAAACTTCAGCAGCCACTCCTCGACGTCGGCAGGCGTTTGGTTCCAGGGATCATCGCTGTGGTATCCTCGTCAGCGTATCGGCTACCAGAACAGGTGATACTGTGCTAGGTCTACTCACTCATCATAGAGAACCCATCTAGCCTGGTGTCGGATCTCCTCATCGGTGGGAATATGGCTGTTGGGATTGTTGGGCGACATTGTGCTGGCGACAAACCGGGAAAGCTCTTTTGCAAGACGTCGATATCTGTTGTTATCATTCAGGAAGAACGGCATTCCACTGCCTCCGGGCCGTTCATTACCCTGCCATGACCCTTGTAGTGACTGCCCCGACCCTTTGAAGATTGTCTTAGCTGCTTGTAGTCTCATATAGAAGTCTTGTGTGGATTCCGCTGCGCTTTCTAGCCCCAACCCGACAGGATCTTGTAAGCCATCCATGCTAGCAGTTTGCGAAAGCCAAGAGGAATCGGCCGCAAGTGCCATCTTCCCAACTCCCTGGTAGTGACTGAGTTCTGGCAAGTTTCTTTGGGCTATGTCCAGAGCTGGCTGGTTCCAATCCCCGTGAGGTCCCGGAGCGGGCTGTGTTGACAACCCATCTTGGGAGTGCTGCTTCCCCCGTTGTCGCAAAGGAGCAATCCAGTCTTTGGATTCCCAAATAAGTCGCACTAAAAAGCCAGCAAATCTTCTCGAAGGGTTGGTAGACGATTCTTCAACGCGAGCCAGAATTGCGCAGGCCTCTTGCTGGATTTCGTGGTCTGAAAGAGCCAGACCCAGTGTAACGTGCATCCCAATGTAATGGCGTAGCTCTGACTCGAGCTGGCATTCTTCAAAGATGTTCATTTTCCCGTTGATGCGGAGCTGGCTTAGGCGTAGCTTAGCCAGCTGCTGCATAGGGCGGAAACGAGCTTTTGTGGCTATCTCATTCGAGCACATGAATATATCTCTTAGCCACGAGGGCGGTGATGAGCCAAGAGCCGACGAAAAGAATTCCGCGCCGAATATGATGCTACACCCCTCGTACTTGAGTTCATCATCAGATGGCGAACTGTCCTGACCCTCGAAGTAGTTTCGTATGTAGTACTCTATCTCTAATTTGAGGAGTTCGTAGGCGCTTGGTGCAGTATCAGCTGGTCCCACACTTGCGGTGAATGGAAGTGCCGAAAGAGACTCGAATCGAATGAGATCTATGCATCATTAATCGTGAACTAAAGGGTTTCAAGATTGCTTTCAAGCACTTACATGGCGGCATAGCATTGTCCAACATCTCCATCACAGCAGGCTCAAATCCCCAATCTCCCTGCCAGTCTGTCATGGTGCTTCCATTCTTGAAGTGGTCGGCAAGATGGTCACCTCGCTCTGCCCATGTCTCGAGCTTGGCACCGCAAAACCCACACGCTGAGCGAATATTGTTCTTCACAAGTTTCCACTTATCCATCAGTCGCGTCATCTGGTTCGATCCGTGTACGAGCTTCAAGTGCTGCCGCAAATGGTCTTTACGGTAGAAGGTGCGATCCTCAACAGGCTTCTCTGAGCAAGCACTCTGATGGTGCTCATCAAGGTGAGGTTTACTGGGGCTGGGCTCTTCGCAATAAGCGCAAACCTCTCCCTTTTCAGGATGGTTTTCCGTGGACCCATGTGGTGAACACACCCACTCTTCCAATGAAAGATGAAGGGATTTTTCATGTCTCTGCCAGTCGTACTTTGTCTTGAATGTTTCCGTACAAAAGGTACACTGGTACGTATTGCGAGCCTGCACCAACTTGATACGCTCCCCTTTTTGCATCTTGGTGAGGGCTCGACGCCTCCGCCTGCCTGAGAATTTGTTGGAATCCTGCGACCCGGCTGACCGTCTGGACCCATGGGAATAGGCAGAGGTGTTCGAACCTCTGCTAGACCGAGACGTCGCAGCACTGCTGAGGGATGATGCATTTTCCGAAGACCTGCCAGGCGATCGTGCACGGCTCGGAAAACTCGATTGTCCGGTCGATGCCGCGACAGCCCGATTAATGTCAGACGCGAGCGCTGGCTCGTGCTCCGGTGGCGAGTGCTCCCATCTCTGCATCGGATTCATCATCTCGAACGGCATTGGCGTCGGTCGTCGGGTCGGAATTTCAATGGGACCAGTCGTTGTCTCCGTCCATGATGGAACTTGCGCAGCCGATGTGCCTTGCGACCGGAACTTTTTGCGACGGCGCGTGTTGGCAAACCAGTTGGTGATCTGCTGTCGCTCCAGGCCTGTTTGATTTTGCAGTCTATCGACATCTTTCGGTGTCGGGTAAGGATGTTTTTCGTGCCTTTCAAACCATGTCCTCAGAACTTTGATGGCGCCAGATGTGAAGCGGCTGCCAATCTTGGATGGCATGGTGGCTTCAGGCTCGCCGCCGGCCTCAGCTGGGCCCGGGGGAATGGCCGCATTGTCCTCGATTTCAGCGGACAGAGGCACGCCGCCCGAAATGCTTGACGATGGCGATGCCATGCAGCTGTCGATCTGGTTCTGAAAATCAACTGCCGAGTTGCTTTGACCGGATATGAGATCGGAAAACATGCCCAGTTGATCAAAGTCTAAACCGACTGCTTGGAATTGGTCTTGCGTGCTGGGCATCACGCCGAGGTTTTCGTGTGGGCTATCCATGACTCAGACCGAGCACTTGGTTTCAGGACGTGAGAGTTGGGCGCAAACCAATGTGGAATGCCATTTTCCGCAAATTTCAGTAATTCTGGACAGGAAACACAGAAAACACCATCAAATTCCTTCTCCTAAAGAATGATGATCAGATGAAAAGGATCGGTGGGCGATTGCGGACAGGCGGGGCAATAAGATGGTTTGTGGATAAGTAATGGAGCTTGTCAACAAAGGGCGGAACCGCTTATGCAGGGTCATTCCGCCCTTCAGTGACACGCTAACGGCTCTGCTTCGTCAAAATATGACAAACGACTTGAATGCTGAAATTCTCATATGTCTTTACAGCAGCGTTCTTAATATCGCGTATAGTCTGACTCTTTTTCTATTAGCTCATAGTGTACTGCCATAGGGTGAATAGTGATAACGTGTAAAGCTCCCTGAGTGGCTAGGTCACACCAACAGGCGCCACAATCGATTGAGTTCAATTCTAGAGAAGATTGTGGCTCATGGCTCTGGATTTCAACCCTGTATTCGGCGAGCAGGAGAGTTCCTGATACTGACTATAGTATTAAGCAACGGCGCGATATAGTCTATCCCCTTGTCGTGTGCGCACCATCTTCCTCCGTCAATGTCCCCGAAAATGGGGCCGGGAGGGGCCGTTGTGGACCGATCTTAAGTCGGGCTTTCCGGGTGAAGTTGTAAGACAACTTCGTTTGGCGAACATATATGCTTCACTTCTTTATGCTTTGAGGCTGTTCCGGGGAGTTTCTCCTCTAGTCCGCGATAACGCCGATCAAAGTGCTGGCAGCTGCACAGGCAGGAGCCCGTCCCGGGATTGTTCATCTCCAGTAACGGCCCCTCATCGCCGAGAAAGCTTACCGGCAAATTGGCATAAAGCAAGTGGCACACAGTCTCCTGCTTTTCACGTCGGAATACGGTGCGCTCCGTTTAGCCCGCTCGGCGCTCCGCCTACCTGACATCAGACGACATGGCATGGAAATTACTATTTGTGATCCCCGAACCCCTCAATCATCCCAACCCCCGCCCATCTCAGGCACTTCACAATGCCAGATCCGAGAGGCTAAGACCGATACCGAACCCGTCTGTCCATGAAAGTCTCCGGGCACCTGGGTGCGATGAACGTCAGGCTGATCGGGCACAGACCCTCTTTTGGTAAGAAGTGGAAGTTTAAGAGTTTATCGCGAGATCATCATCATAGCTACCTATATTTGTCTCGGTTTCGGTAGCGACGGTTATTCGATTCGGCGATTAGGCATGGCATGGCACTCAGATGAACTGCCGCAATCGATAAGAGTACGGATAGAGCGTTGCTAACTTGCTATTGACAATCAGTGAGATCGTCTTGTCTTCATCGTAAGCTCAACGTGTGTTCGCCAGATGACACAGCGTGCAGCTAATATTTAAAAAGTTATGGCTCTGGCATCTACTCAAGCTGAGAAGCAGATTATTGCGCCAGTGGCTATGGCACCTAAGATATGCGTCTTACTCAACATCTTGATAACCCTAAAGGAGCTCAAAAGGGGCGACACACGCATGTCGTTTTTCGAAGGGCACGGAGAGGCAAAAGTGCAAGAGAAAGCATGCTTTTCCCACTTCTCCATTCGGGAGACACCGTCACCTATAAAAGGTTTGAACGGTTCCAGACGGCTTCATGTTGAAATCTGTGCTGTCAAATTGGGGGGCAGGGTGGTTCGATCACAATACGCTTCTATTGATACGGTTTCTCCGCTGCTTTAGACATACTCGAATTCCAATGCAATTTGAACATAACTCCAACCTTTAATGCACCATGCCCTGAGTTGAGTCATCAAATAGTAGACAATTCCAAAACTTTTGTAGCGTTGAGCTTTTCCATTCCCATGCTGTGCCTGCATGTGCTGTGATGATTGTTTATGACCGTTACCTCATCAAGTCATTAATGCGTTACGCATCCCGCGTGTACTCGGACTTCTGGCGCCAAACGTGGCCGTATCTCATCACAGCGATGGGAATCGGAGCCAGAAAGAT